AACCTCGGAAGCCTTCCTGGAAGATGGCATGGACTGCTGGCAGTTTGATTTTTGGGTTTAAGGGTTCAGGGTTTAGGCTGGAGGGTTTTGGTTTTGGAGTTTGAGTTTTGGGGTTCACGGTTAAGGATTTAGGCTGTATGGTTCATAATTGCGAAATCAATGCAGAAGAAGGTGGAACATTAAATGGACACCAGGATTATACAGGGGCTTTGTAGGTTTCTGTCTTAGGTTATAGGGTCCCGCTGGCTGCACTTCTTTCTTGGAGGCAGGGGTTCATGTTGTACTAATCCCGGTATAGTCCTATAGTAATCATCCAAACAGGAACCCCAAAAACCTAAGCCTTCATCCCTAGGCCCTAAGCCTTTCGTAAGTAGGGTTTGTGGGTTTCGCCTTCATGGAAGCCTTTTGAGGAGGTTGCGGCTTGGTCTTCGTGATTTAGAGGCTTCCAGTGTAGGGGCTCCGGGTTTCAATAACCCTCAGCCCTAAGCCGTGCGGGGGTGGGGGTTTGGGGGGTCTTATGGCTTGAGATCACGGAGTGAACTTGGCTATTAGGGTCTCCTTCGGATCTTGTTTCTGATACATCAAAGGTAGAATTCAGCAGAGCTGATGGTGCACTTTTTTTGACAGCCCGCCGCCAGGCCGCAATCCTAAATCCTAAACCTGAAACCCCAACGCCTAGACCCAAAACCCTAGAGGCCTAAATCCCAAGCCCTAACCCTAGAGCTCTAAATCCTGAACCCTAACCCTAGAGCCGTAAATCCTGAACCCTAAACCCTGAAACCAGGAGCCAGTTGGACAAAACGCCCGAAAAAAAATTAACTAGAACTAGGAGAGCGACTCAGACATCGACATCATCTTCGGCACCGGGGAACTGAAAGGGCCTCTGCACGTGGACACCTACCGAGTAGGCCTAGGGTTTAGGGTCCAGGGTGCCTGGGGTTTAGGGTTTAGGGTTTAGGGTCTAGGGTTTAGGGTTTAGGGTTTAGGGGTTGATAATAGAGAAGATGGAACATAATGTGGAACATGAACTGGAGACTAGGGCTAGATAGGTTTGGGTTTACTTCTTTTGCTGCAGGGTTTACGTTTCAGGGCTTGGGGTTTACGGTGTAGGGCTTGGCGAAATGATTCCCTTCGCCAAGCTAACGTGGATTCCCAAAAGGGCCAGAAAAAAGGGGTTACTGTTCTTTGAAAAGGGGCTGCATCAGCTTCGATGTTTGTGGGAAGTTTGTACCGATGATTAGTGGAGTGAAGGAGCTGGGACAGTTTCGCGTTGTCTGGGATTCTTGGCCCCTTCCCTACTAACCATCACCAGGGGGATTGGGGCTGGGGATTGGAGTGGTCGAGGGCTGTGAGTTAAATCAGTGGGACTTTACCTGGGGTCTGATTTCAACCCCGTAGTAATGCAGACGGTTAACTAGGCCCTAGACCCTAAACCCTAAAACCTAAAGCCCCAAGCCCTGGACCCTAAACCCTAAACCCTAAACCCTAAACCCTAAACCCAAAACACTAAACCCACTACACCCTTAGCCCTTCTGTGGGAGGCCCCATGGCTGTGGAGAAGCAGCCTTTCGCCATGATCCGGGAGATGACAGGCACCGCCTCTGCATGGTCCAAGCCCGACTCATGAGGTTTAGGGGTTTAGGGGTTAAGGGGTTTAGGGGTTTAGGGTTAAGGGGTTTAGGGGTTTAGGGTTTAGGGTTTAAGGCAAAGGGTGACTAATGGAAAAAACATGGGAATCATTATGTTATGGTATTTAGGCTTTAGGTTTTAGGGTTGAGGGTCAGGGGGGATTTAGTGAGTAGGGTGAATAGTGGAACAGATAGCATTTCAATCCACTATAGCCTTTCGGGTTCAAGGCTTAGGGCCTAGGGTCCGGGGGAGTTAGTAAGTGCCTTAAAAACGGAAAAAGAGGATGGAACCCTATAGTATTTAGGGTTTAGGGCTTATGGTCAGGGGGACTTAGTAGGTCGGTCAGAGTAATTTTGGTACGTAGGTTAGTAATGGAAAAGAAAATGGAAGCTACGATGTTTAAGGTTTAGGATTTAGGGTCAGGGGGACTAAGTAAATAGGTTAATGGCAGGGAGAACTAAGGTTGCTACATGCCTTCCAAATTTAGTTGTTATAAGTACACTTACTAAGGTCCCTCGACCCTCCAAGTAGATATTCGTGTACTTATGGGGCACCTCTACCTGGGAGCTTTTCAAAAGCTCGCCTGTTGGTCCTGGCTACATATCTTTAGGGTTCAAAGAGCGCTCTTTTTTTGGGAAATGCCGTGGAGTTTAGGGTTTAATTAGGGTAGATCCCAAAGGACCATACCCTTCAGTATCAAAAGTCGGCCACTGACTTCTGCAAAATCGTATCGGACAAGGGCACCTTTCAAGAGCTGAGGGGGAGTTCAAAAACAGCCGGGAATCCTCCTCTTTGGCAACCTACATATGCATTGACTCTTGGGTACTAGGGCTGTTTTGTATTCCTGGTATTGGGTGGGGGGAGGGACCAAATCCCAAACTCTAAACCCAAGACCTCAAAGCCTAAACCCCAAATCCTAAACCCCAAACCCTATACTCCAAAACCCAAAACATCTGAACCCCAAACCCTAAACCTTAAACCCCAAACCCTCAACCCTCAAAGGTGATGTCTTCTCCTCTTTTCCCTTTGAGGGCATCCTGGGCCTGGCCTTCCCATCGCTGTGCCTGGGGCTAGCATGGGGTTTAGGGTTTAGGCTTCAGTGTTCAGTGTTTAGGGTTCAGGGTTTAGGGTTTAGGGATTTAGGGTTTCGGGTTTAGGCTTCAGTGTTTAGTGTTTAGGGTTCAGGGTTTAGGGTTTAGGGATTTAGGGTTTAGGGTTTAGGCTTCAGTGTTTTTAGGGTTTAGGGTTCAGCGTTTAGGGATTTAGGGTTTCGGGTTTAGGCTTCAGTGTTTAGGGTTTAGGGTTCAGGGTTTAGGGTTCAGGGTTTGGGGTTCAGAGTGCAGGGTTCTGTCGCTTGGAAAGGGTTAGGCTTTAGGATTCAGGGTATGGAGCTCTAAAGAAGGGGGGGATAATAGGAGTCTATAGGGGGTTCTATAGGAGTTTTTAGGGACATTTTTCGGGACATATGGCGAGATATAGGGGTTTGTAGTGATATGACTCCAAGACAAAGAGTGAGAATCACATGGAAAAGCACACGAAACATGAAATGAAAGCCAGGCTTCTATGGGGGCTGAGGATATTAAGAGCTTGAACAGTTTCCAATATTGTAGTCATCGATTCGTACATAGTCATGGTCTAGGGTGCCAATACCACCGGGTTCAGTTCGCAACAAAGTGGGTAGTACAGCGGGCGGGCGGTTAAGGACTTCACGAAAGTTTCAGAGTCTGGAGTTTGCAGGGGGACCCTCGTTCATGGCTTCCTCGAAAAGGGTTATCCGATGTTCAGAGTGATGAAGGTGTAGAGGCGGCCGTTGTGTGCAGTGGAGTTGGGAGTCGGCCTAAACTTTGGGACGCCCTAAAGCCTAATCAAACCATAAACCTCTTAGATCTTGGACTGGAGGGGAGTCTCCAAACCAATACGATGGCGCTATGTGAGCTCTATGCCTCGTCGGAGTGGGTAATTCAGTTGGACTTCTCATGCAATATAGCTCCTTAATGAGCCAACTGTAACCCCATTCAATGCATTTTGAAGTAGTTTCCCGAACCCACTCGAAGCCAATTCTGCAATTCCAAAACATTGACCTAAATCCGCAGCCTCAGCCTGAGATGCCAAACCCTAAGCCACAAAATCCCCAAACCCTACACTCTAAACCCTAACCCCAAACCCTCGACCCTCAATCCTAAACCCTTAAGCCTAAACCCCAAACCCTAAACCCCAAACCCTATGCCGCAGAGAGTTGCTCCTTAACTGCCATGAGGTCATTCGGAGGAATTGAGCCTTTTTTCGAGCGGCCTGGCTTTTACTGCTTAATTGTGGTTCAGGGGCCGAGGGCTAGTGTTTTGGAGGTCAGGATGTAGGAGCCTGTGGCAATGGGATGTGAAACTTATACTATTGGGGTGTTCACTGCACGATGCCGCAACACAGAAATCCCCAGTAAAGAGCGTGCTGACAATTTATGCCTGCTACGCTTTACGTACTGCACCTACCCACTCGCAGTTCCTGACTTCATGTTTCTGTTGTCTTGAGAGGGTTCCGATCCAGAGGGAACTCCTCATGCTTTTTGCAAGGCCTCTGAAGGCCCCTCCACCCTGAACCATGAACCCGAAACCCTGGACCGTGAATCCGGAACTCCAATCCCAACATCCTCAACCTTCAAAAGACATCCCGAAGTCGCAAGATTGTAAGTCATTGTGACTTTTACTGTTATGACTCTCAGTACTTGTATTGTCTACATTACTTGCATTGTTATTGTCCTGCCTGTCACCAACCTGCGTCTGCTCTGAGGCGAGTCATCAAAGCGCCCTGGATCACATGGTGTCTAGGGTCTGCAGTAGAAGGGGGAGCTGTAAAGTTGATACTAGAAGACCTGCATCACCTTACTATACTATGATACCATAATTCTCAGGTATAACGTACTTAGGGTCATGCAGTATTTTTAGTATCCACCGCAGGGATTCCATGGACATGTCTAGGGTTTTATACCATATGCTGGGTTTATAGTAAATACTTGGGTTTCCTAATTATAGTAACTTGACTTAAGCTCCTGAGCAGCAACCCAGAAGCCTTTTCGGGTTTGCTGTGTTTAGGACATGGGTGCCTGTTGTGGTCCTTGTATAACCCTTGCAGTGGTAGTGGTGGTGCTGGCTAAGTTCAAAAGAAACAGCAATAGAACGCCCATTGCAAGTAAATAAGGCCAGTTCAAAGAAAGCAGAACACCCACAGCATGCCAATAGAAAAGCAATAGCAGCCAACAAATATCAACATAAAACTAATGAAGCCTAAAGCCTAAACCCAGAACACTAAACCCTAAATCCTAAAACCTAAACCCCTAAACCCTAACCCCTAAACCCTGAGCCCTGGTGGATGCCAAGGCAAAGCTCCTGAAAAGCAATGAGTTTGCTTTCTATCTGAACACTGACAGCAATCGCCCCAGCGCGCTTCTGTGGGGTGGCGTGGACAAGGATCTCAATGCAAGGGGGAAGGATTTGGGGATTAGGGCTTAGGGGAGAGTGCAGTTTAGGCAGTAGGGTTGAGGGGGAGTAGGTTTTTAGGGAGTAGAGTTTACAGTAGGGGTGTTGGTTTAGGGATTTGAGTCCTTCAATGGGTGATACATTGGTTTTACCCCCACACCATAATGGTTCCCCAATATTTTGCCCGCAGCAAGGATCTTGTAGATATTTGTTCTAGCGCAGGGCAGTATGCAAGGTATCAAAGGAATTGCAGACATTCATGGAGATTCATGCGAACATGCATCTTCAAAAGTATATGTGTGAGGTACAGAGACAGGAAGCCCAAACAAAGCATGAAGACATACAGAGCCCCTGTACATGAACGCATGCGTACATACATGTGTGTGTAGAGGTAGGTATGGGTACACACACACATATATATATATATATATACAGCTCATTATAGTAGTTTCCATTTAACCCCAATTTCTACCCTAATGTATGGAGAGGCATGCGCTCTATCAAGATCATCCTGGGCCGGAGGTGCGTGTGACCTCTGCGTGCCCGTGTCCCAACTCTAGTACGAAAGCATTTCAGTCAAAGTGTAGACACCCAAAACTTGACCAACGCACAGTTCCCAAGCAAAGCTGATCCCTCAACGTAGCAAGCCTGAAACCTCCAAATCCGAACTCCGGAAATATGAGGGTGGGGTGGGGATACATGCATTTCTATTTGGTATATTGGGATTATACAAGATACGCCAACTACCTAGACTAACCCCCAAAGTCCTAAAACCTAAACCCCAGACAGACCAAAATCAGCAAGGCATTGTGCCGACCCTGAACCCAGAACCGACATGCTTGGAGGGTCAGGGGGACTCAGTAAGTGTACTTGTAACCCCCATAAGCCATATGAGCTGTAGTCTAAACTCCTTAAAGGGGGGTTATATAGGGGAGTATATAGTTGACTTACTTGGTAGTCCCCTGACCCTCCAAGTGGACTGTGTAGCGCAAAATTTGATGACCTCATCCGACCTCACCCCAAATGGTGTTTTCTATGGGAGATGACACGAATATTGTTTTATTTCCAGTCTTGGAAGCATTGTACTTCAACCAGTATTGTCGGTCATGTTTGGATAGCGCTTGACGGCAATATCCTTGGCCTCATTCCCCCCTGATCCCAAGCGCACTTTGTCTGGCAGGATCTGTTTGATGGGCCAATCGCGTCTTGGAGTAATGTGGTCTGGGCAAGAAGGATGGGAGTTAGCAAGACTTGTGGGGCTGTCTGTATTGGGCCCCCTGTTTATGGAAGCCTCCATATTTGTGAGCAGCAGGACCTATGCCCCAAGTCAGCTCAAGGTTCAGGATTTAGGGTTTAAGGTTAGGGCTTAAGGTTCTAGGCATCAAACTTGCAAGGATCTGTGGGTCAGCTATTGCCGGGATAGAGGTGTGGGGAGTCTTGTTCGGGCTGTTGGGCGTTTACAGCAGGGATGGTATTAAGCGGAAGATCCTGAAGAGCATGCCTCAGGTATTGCCATTTCCACCCTGAACCCTGAACCCTAAACCGTGTAGCCCTCACTCTGCTTACGCTAAGTCCAAAAGTATGAAGGAGTAACTTATGCGTTGAGGCTAAGGTCATGATTTTCATCAGTTGCATATTGTCCACACTTTTGTACGCCCTGGACTCTCTCACCCTAGATCACCCTAGAGAACAAGCATTTCAAGACTTTAGACGGTTGGTTCTTCAGGTATTTACGAAGGGCTGTAGGCATCAAACACTCCTTCTACTCCAGAATCTCCAACGAGAGAGTTTGGAAATTGATGGGTAGACTTCAATTACCTTCACAGAAAGTACTACAAAATCAGCTCCAAACCTTAACGGAGATTCCCACGCTTCCCTCGACGGATCCCAAACTCCACGTTGTTTTCTCTTCGGGCTTACAAGACAGGATTGAACTCACTAAGTCCGCACACAGAGTACATCCAAGACCTTACTGTTATGAGATAGTTTCTAAGCAAGCAATAATCGTGCTGAACTCATGCCTCGACCACTCCGAGAACCGCCCAGAGTCCCGAAGGGCCTTTCGATTTTGCAAGATAGAGATTTCCGCCGGTATATGCAAGCAGCGCCTACGCGCCACGTCGAGATTATCCAATGTTTTCGGAGCATAGGTGGCGCATGGCTGTCGTAAAAACCGTGTAGCCTTTAGGGGCCAGGTCTAGTATGAAAGCTCTTCCCTTTCAAAAGAAGCTAGACATGTCCTGCACTCTGCTGCAAAGACCCTTTGCAAAAAAGTTTCAACAAAAAAAATATGTGATATTCCCTCAACCCTAAACTCCTAAAGCCTAAAACCCCTTAACGCTTACACACCCTAAACCCTTTTCCACTCAAACTCCAACCTACAAGCTTTCATCTTTTCACCTTCCACTTCCCAACGTTGGGCCAAGTAACCCACGCTTTGAAGCATGAAGGAAGCCTGAACCCAGGCAATACCGTTTAAGGCAACCTCCAGGTTTAGGGTTTAAGGTTTTAGGGTCTATAGGGTTGAGGGCATCCCCAAAATTTTATGCCTTCAACCGACCATCCTACACCCCAAAGCCTGTGAAGTACAATCTGTGCCGCTGTTTTTCTATGGTTCTGAGGTGATGTTTCCTGTGGTGAAGCCTCACTACTGGTCGACGCCTCAGAAGACGGCTGTGGGGTGCAGGATTACATGTGCTGTAGTCATAGGGGATTATACAGGGAGCCACTATAGTGCTTATTGAGGGGGATACCATAGCTTTGGAGCACTGGTGTGCAGTTTAGGGTCCGGAGTTTAGGGTTCAGGGTCCAGACCTCCTGTAGCGGACGCGGAAGGCGGTACCCCCCTATTTAGGGTTTTTGGTTTAGGGTTTCCGGCTACGGGTCTAGGGTTCTGGTTTGAGGGTTATCTTTCAAACGATTTTGCAGACGGGTGGGTTTCAAAGTGGGATGTCCCCATCTGTATACTCCCAAAACACCAGGTGCGGCATAGTATTGCGTATGTCCAAGGGACCCACAACTTGGCTAAGAGCCCATCTTCCTTTAAGAAAGAATACTCTGTGAGGAGGGGTATTTTTTTTTTACTAGGTTTAGTTGGGTAGTTTCCTTAAAAAAGGCCCAAGTATAGACCCCAAGATATGCTAATACTCTCCAAATATAGACCCCAAATACAAAGATGATCAGGTACCTCAAGCCCCTGTATTACCCTATAGTCCCCCTTAAGTAGATAGAATATGGGGTATATGGGGATCTTATTATAACATGCCCAAAGCCATATTTTTATCTGCTCAAGGGGGACTAAACATAACTCGCCTTTAAAGCGGGGGGCGGTGACCACCGCCGGAAGGCAAAGCGCTGCCATGCTGTCAGATCCTTCCAGCCGAGAACGCTTGGTGCACCATCCTGGGTCCTTACTGGCAGTTTTGTGGACTATGGGGCTTTATAGGGGTCTATAAGGGTTGATGGACAAGAACATGGAAGCTACTGTTTAGGGGTTAGGCCTAAAGGGTGCGCGAAATGAATACAGGATTGGTGGGCGCACTACTGGTAATTCTGTTTGTTGCCATGTTCAACGACACACTGCCGTCTTCCCTGCGCACCTCGAGGTGACGTCTGTGCAGCAATGCATGAGGGTGGATGTCAAAATTATGGTCCCTTTTTGGATCCTATTATAATATGGCACCTAATATTTAGGGTACCCAAAAAGGGACCATAATTTTGACATCCACCATGAGGGCATGCTCGAGGTGGCCATTTTACGGAGCCTTGAGCTTTGGACCCTCCATCGATGAGGTTTTCGGAGGCTCTCCGGCAAAGGCTAGAGGGACGGTACTGGCAGGCCGCAGATCCTTGCTGGTTGACCCCATCCATCCATCCCTCCATCCCTTACATCACCCAGGGGGACCCTTGATTTCGGGACTGAACGAATTTTGCGGTTCTAGGTTTGGAGTTTAGGATTTAGGGAGTACAGGGCCCCTCCCCGGGAAGCCTGAACTTTCAGCTCGATCTGAGCCATAATCTTAACTCGGAATTATGTAGGAGACTACTATAGGAGTTATGAAGGGGGATACTTGGAGTTTAGACCCTAAACCCTAAACCCCCAAACCCGAAATCTTAAACCCTAACCGCCCCTAAACCCCTAAACCCTAAACCCTAAACCCCTACACCCTAAACCTTAAACATCTGATTCCCAGGTCTCTGGAGCTTGTCGACTTCCGGATCAAGGGCAAGTCTCTGAAGGCAGCGGCTGCGGATTTATTCCTTCCTATATGTATTTCCTATCTAATCCCTTAACCTCAAATCCACAATACATGTAGACTCAAGTATATGAGCCATAGTCTAAACTCCCAGTATCCCCCTTCATAACCCTTCTAGTAGTCCCTTATATTCCCTTATAAAACCGCTTTTAAGGAGTTTAGATTATGGCTCAGATCATTATTCTATTTTTCCCTAAAGAGCCCGATACTCTTTGACTGAGGAATGAAACTCACATGATATGAGGTAGTTTCCATTCATATGAGCACCTCAATAAGCCATAATCTAAAATCCTTAAAGAGCTTTAAACAAGGGATTATATAGGAGATTTTTTCTGAACAGGTTTTGATGAATGCTTGTTGCGGAGCCCGCACTATCGTTTTCGGAAATTCGCATGCTGTAGAAACAATGACCAATGTTATGGTTCTGGATTCTTTGTACGACCTCAACAGGATATTGGTGCAAATATCCAGGCTCTTACGGTACACTCCCTACAACCCCTACTGTAGGAATCCCAGTTTCCGTTTGATTTCCATGCTCTGTTCCATTCTCCATTGTTTGGCGAGTAATTTGGCCCCCAAACTAAATCCTCAACACCATTTATCTCTCTTTTTACCCGATTTATTCCTCAACATTTCCTTTCAAGATTATGTTACCCCCCCCCCGCTTTCTGAGATGAATCCGGGCTGCAGGCTCACGTGTCCGAAGACAGCAAGGTCCCCGCGCAGTGGAGTGCAAGGGGAACAATCAGGGAGAGTCGTAAGTACATTTGAGCTAGTAGACGCTCGGTTTTGAACGTTGTTGATGTCCAATCTGTTTCCAATGAATTCGTTGAGGTCTCCAGGCCTCCGAAGATTTAGAATGAAGCCTCGGTGAATGCAGGACTCCAATTTCGGCGTCCAGGGCAGTGCTTCATGAATGTGGATTGTCTCATATTCGTCAGTCTAAGGCAGAGTAGGGTTGGCTTGGAGGTTTTTCTGCTGAAGTGCCGTGGTTCGATGTGGGGGTTTGCAAGAATCAAGGGATTGTTTTGAGGAGTCACAAGAAGAAATCTAGCATCTTGCGATCCACGCTAGGCCCTCCATTCCTGGAACCCAAACCCTAAACCCCAATGAGGCGTTGTTGCGTCTTTCACTTAGCGGTGCCTTAGTCAAATCGACCATGATCGAAGCCGAACCGCACATGAACACCTGACACAGCCAAGGACGTTAGCTAAGGTTGGGAGAAGCCCTACATTCCAATCCATGTTCTCACTTTGCAAGTCCATATAGCATTACGCGTAGAAGACCCCCATCTTAAGGCCTCCAAGCAGAGAAAAAACTAGGTGTGACGAGCCTCTGGCAAGACATACCTTTCCTGGAGATGGTCAGGGCAGTCTCCTCAATCCCTAGTCCCCTATCAGCACTCTATACCCGAAGCTCCTGGGCCATTATCCCTAGGTCCTGAATCTTAATCCCTGAACACGACGCACCCCAAACGCTAGTCACTGAACCCCAAGCCCTAATTCCGGACCTTTATCCCTAAACCCTAAGCTGTTTGGAGGCCAAATATGTGCTGGTGGACAGCGGAACCACCTACTTTACAGCGCCCTCAGCGACTCAGCAGAGATACTTCCGATTAAGGTTTCGGGTTTAGGAATAACCCCTAAATAATCCTTGAGGGGGATTCCTACAAGCACTAAAGTCCCTGAAGCCCTGCAACCTTGAGCAACCCATAGATGACATGAGGTATGCGAATGGTTTAGGGTCAAGTCTGATTTGCGCAAGGGTTTACGGTTAAGGATTTGCGGTTAAGGATTTTGGGTTTAAGGGTTGGGATTTGCACTGTCCTCGACATTTGCTGTTGTTTGCTCTTGTGACCTTTTTTTCCGCGAATTTTCGCGGCAGAGGGCAGGTTTACGGCAATGATGTGTTTACAGGCTTACAGTGCAGAGAGTCTTGTTTGCTCTCGTCGATGTAACCCCTATGAAGAAGCTTGGGTGCCTTGAATCCCTTAACCCTAAAACCTTAAGTCAGAGATCTCCAGGCAGAGCTCTGACTGCACAGAAGAATTCAATTACCTTCTCTGGAGTTTCGAGCAGCTGATGTGGGGCTTTCTTGTTTTTGGGTCCTCAAAGGTGGAACACCACTTTGTTTTTGTAAGAGGTCTGGGTCCTTCATGTGGCCAACTTATCATCTGCAACGACGCGTATTTCTGCGTCGTTCTGGCAATTCCTAAGTGGGCCTGACAGTATCACAAGCTAGACTCTGGCCTTGCCGACCCTGCATGGGCTTTAGAGGATTGATCCCAAACTGTAGCTATGGGGCTTGTAGGCTCAAGGGCATCAGGTTTTGGACTTTGGTTTAGGGATTATGGTCTTCCTTAAGCGCAGAATGTTTTTTGGCCCTTTGTGCTCCCAGGAGATGTGTGTAAACTGCATAATCTCAACAGAAACAAGTCCTGATGCCTTCGTCCGAAGGCAGTCTCTGCCTGGATGGTCAGGCAGAGAAACGGGCTCTTGGCCTCAAGTCCTTTATCAGACTCATGCAGGAGATGTACTTCAGCATCATGAAGCATTTCCCAGAAGCACCCTGCAGCAGCTGGGACGTTCATTTGGGGTTCAGGGTGCAGTGTGTTGGGTTCAGGGTCCAGGGTTTAGTAGCGTGCAAGATAGGTGTTTTGGGTCTAGGGTGTAGGTGTGAGGTTTAAGGTCTATGGGGTAGGGTTTAGGTTCTGCAGCCAATTTGGCTCCATCCAATCTCCTAGTGCCCATGCGCTAGGTCATTGTTGAATATATTCTTACGTTGAATTTTCGTTTAATCCACTCGCTCTAAAAACTGCCCCGCCACCCCCCTAGGAATGAATATTCGCCCTAATGTCTCATGGTACCCTAAACCCTAAGCCCTAAGGGAGGGTTTACTGAAATTCAGTACGCTATGCAAGCATTTATCTTCTTAGAAAAGCTTAAAAAAGAAGCTGTAGATCATATCCCTAGGAGCAGTGCTCCAGTCCTGTGCTTTACAACCAGGCTGTGGAGTTTCCCCTGAACCCTAAGCCCTAAACCCTAAACCCTACACAACAGGGGCTTCAGAAGCTGCGGGTTGTGCGGATCTTAAGGCCGAAATCTTAGGTCCTATGCCCTGAAAGCCGATAAACTTGCAACACAAATTCAAAGGCCAAACCCTAAACCCTCAACCCATGGCGTGGGTGCCTGTATTGAGGCTACCCAGCTATCTGGGTAGCTGAGTAGGTAGCCTTTACCCTTTTAGGGTCTAGGGCTTTAGGGTTCAGGGTTTAGGTAGCCTTTACCCTTCAGGGTCTATACAACTTGGTGTTTAGCTTTGGGCGTTTGACTTGAGTTAGCTTCCACGATGAGCTGCCAAATTAAATGTGCTTACTGGTGGTTAGTGCGGGTAGTACGGAAGAAAGGAATAGAATTCCTACATAATCCCTACAACTTGTATCCTTATTCCGCCCACTGACACTCAACCTTAGACCCCTTTGAATTCCATCATTCCCTACTAAGCCACCCTAAACCTTAAACCCTAAACCTCAATCCCTAAAGCCCCAGTAAAGTATGGGTTCAGGCGACGTGGAGGAGTATCCGCCCATCCAGTACGTGTTGCGCAGCGCCCACAACCAGACCTTCACTCTGGAGGTGTGGCTGTAACTCTAAACCCTACCCCCTAAACCCTAAACCCTAAAGTCTGAAACCTACAGCCTAAACCCTAAACTCTAAACCCTAAACCTATAATTTCCGGAACTCTGAACCCTACTCCCCAAACCCTAATTCCTAAACCCTAAACCCTCCAGAGGAAAAAGGTCCGGTAACAAAAGCCCTAAACCCTAAACCTAAATCCTTGTTTGAGGTTAGGGGCTTCCACGTCAAGGGGGATCCCCCTGAACCCTTAGATCCTGAACCCTGAGCTCTTCAAGGAATCCTTGTCTAGGGTAGATCAAGGATAGGACATCCTATGTACGCGCTTTAGGCCCAATTGTAGACTGTTACTGGGAGGGGGCGGTACCCAATCTCAGCCCCAAACCCATGTTCTGAACGTTAAGGATTTAGTCGAAGGTAGGTCGTCAGAAGGATTTTTCAAGGGACGTGCTATACTGGATTTTCTGTTAAGGGGTCTAAGCTGCCAAAATATGGATCTATAGTAAATAATAGCGTTCACGAAGAATGGTAACTCATTCCAAATATGGATCTATAGTGAATCGTAGCGTTCCCTAGTAACTGCAACTTATTTCGAGTTCCTTGAAAGCAAGCCTTTATCGGTGAGATGCTCAGGTAGACGGCGGGGGGCTGTTGGGTCCATGGTTTAGCGTCATGCTGAGGGTGTCGCTTGTCGTAGTAAGATTTTGGGGGTTGATGAACGAGAAGTTTGCGGCAGCGAAAAATGTGCTGAGCCTGGGTTACACTTGGCGTTTCATGTGCACTGGATGGAAGACATGCTCGCAGTGTGGAAACCTAGGGAGCACGTGTGCTTCGGATTTTGAACAGGTTTCCAATAACACGCATGTTCTCACTGGGCACGCATTGAAGTTCGGGCTCTACTCTCAATGATGCTTCCGTTTTAGGGTTTTATGAAGTGGCAGTGATTGTGAACCCAAGCTCTTGACCCAACGCCCTGCCTCAGACCCTAAATCTCTGAGCGCCTCAATCCTAGACGCCTAAATCCTAACCCTAAAACCCTTAAAACCGCTTAAGCACCTGAAATCCCTACAGACCCTCAACCCAAAACCCCTAAAGCCCCTAAACATCCCTAAGCCCCTAAAAAATGCGGATCACGTCTACAAGCTTTCTGTGGTCAGGTGAGCCAGGAGACGTACATGGCCGCTTGGATTTTTTCGCTTGAAGGGGATATTATCCTATTAGGTTTAGAAACGGTTAAGGGTTTTTACGGTTTAGGGTTTAGGAGGGTATAGTGTTTGGGGGTCATGGAGTTTGGGGTCTGGGATTCAGGGGTTCAGGTTTCTCACGACATGTCAAATAGGAGGAAGGAGGCCCCTGGGGTTTGCGGCTCTCAGTCAGGGTACGTGGTACGTGCTGTGACGCGGCTCCATCCCAACATGAATCTCCCCTTTCAATATCCTCACATGTGAAGGTTCTTGCTCACCAATTCAGACATGCCCGAGCGTCGCCGTGACCAAGGACATCGAAGTGTCAACTGTAAGCATGGAAAATCTGCACGAAGCATTGCATAGCTCCCCAAACATCCGAATAGGTTACTTGTTCAAATACGGGCGTACATGTGATACCCCTGCAAGAAAGGATCGTGGTGTTGCAGACCCACGAGTGGATGCAATTCTGTCAAGAGCTTCCACTCGCCCTGACACAGGGGCCCTGTGAAGAGGCCAGCAGTTGTTGCACGTCTTTTTGGCGCGGCTGCACTTTGATTTTTCGGGAGCGTAGATTTTCAAACCAAGTCCTTCTCCAAAAAGTCGAATTAAATCCTCAACACTAAGCCTCAAATCCCTAGGTCATCTATGTCCTAATCCCCAGGCTCTCAACTGTGAGCCCTAAACCCGACATCCTTAGGTCATGGACGAGTACGACTCCTGCCGACCTGCTTTCATGAAGCTGGGTTGTTAAGGAACTCAAACAAAATAGGGTTTAGGGTGTATCTGCTATAGATTTTTCAGTTCAGTTACCTGCACAAAACCTCTTAAACCTCTACTTGGAGGTTCAGGGTAATTAGCACCCAGTGATACTGGGTACTGATAATAACCCAATTACCACCATACTCGGGGACTTAGGGGGCTTAATTGTATGTGGTTACAATTGGTTATACTCACCGTGGAGCTTCAAGCATAGAACGATTAGAATCCCTGTGAAGGAACCCATGACAGCACCCTAGCCTTAACCCCTATGTATCCTCCATATAAAGCCAGTTTCAACTTTCTCGATTTTCTTTTCCATCAGATTTTCCACTATGACAACCTCAAGCCTTAAACTCTAAATCCTAAGCCCAAAATCAAACCCTAAGTCCTAAAACTTTGATGCCCTGGTAACCTTGTTAATGTGCCTATGAACGGCAGCTCAGGAATCTAAGGTGATTACAGGAGGGAGTTACCATGTAGGGACCTTCTGAAAGCCGCTTATCCTCTATATGTAACCCCAAACCCTAAACGCTAACCCCCCATGGTCCCTGTATACCCTCTTTGAGCCCTAAACCCCTCAACCGCGTCTCCCCTCCTGTAGTTGGCCTTAGAGGCAACCAGGAAGCTGCCCCCACTCAGTAACAATTGAATACAAACATATCCTAATTACATGTAGCCCTGTACAGTACAGTATTATAGACTGTTGCTGGGTGGGGGCATTACCCAAAGTAGCCCAGGAAGAAGGATCCTAAACCCTAAGCCCTATACCCTAAACCTTGAGCCCCGAGACCCCAGGAAGCTGGATTAAATTACCCAAAGTAGCCCAGTAAGGTGGACCCTGAACCCTAAACCCTGAACCCCTTAAACCCCAGGAAGCTGGACATAAAGCGCAAGTCCTATGGACCAGCCATGATCCTCGGCGAGGCGGTCCGAGGGGCTTTAGGGTTCAGGGTTGGAAGATATGGGCGGGTTCAAAGGTTTCAAGGATTTAGGGTTCAAGGGTTTAGGATTCAAGGTTTTAAGTTGAGGCTTTGGGTTCAGGGTTTCAGGCTCAGGTTATATGGGGATAATGTAGGGACATATTAGGATATATAGATCTGTCTGAGATTGCTGAAGCTGATTTTTGAAGGCGGGCACGCCCCAAACTATGATTCCGGAACCCTGCCTACACAGATTGCCGTGATTTGAAGAGGAGCTATACGGAATTCCATGTTAGTTTGGAGGAGGGCTTGTGGCGTGCGGTTTTAGGGTCTGAAGGTTCTGAAGCAGCTCGGTGCTAAGGCTTACTTGTATAGTTCGGAGACTGAGAGTCCAGGACCAAGTCTTGATTTTGTCAGTCTTAAGATATTGTGGCATGGATGCCCCCGTATTGCTTGGTTAAAGAAGTGTTGGTAGGTTTAAGTCTTTCACGTGTCGGGCCTCCAAATTGAAGATTCGGGGGTGCAGAGTTTAGGACGTCAGGGTTTAGAGTCTATGTGGTCCTGATAATATGGCACGTCGTATGCTGCATACATTAGGCGCTGTGGTAATGGCGCCTTAGTAAGGAGTTAATAGGGCCTTAATATACCTACAATAGTCCTTTGTGCTACCCATCACTGGGTGGGGGATTGGCCCAATGCATATATTTTTGTTGCTTGCAGGGGCAGGTTGTTCCTTGCGCCTTGCGTATGCGGAACCAAATGTTTCCACACGCCCTAGGCTCTCAACCCCAAACCCAAACCCTGAACCCTAATCCGACCTGAGTGCATCAGGCCCTTTACGGACTGCTGTTCTTATATAAAACGCCAACATGGGGTTACATGCTAGTTTGCAAGAAGGTAGGAAGCTGCAGGTTTCATCGAGTTTCGCATTTTGGGTGGGCCCGAGTCAGCTTTCTAATGGAAACTTCACGCATGTAAGCTTTCATCAGAAAACGCTGGAAACCCCAAGCTCCAATAGTGCATGCATTCCTCGGCGAAACTTACATGTTACATTCTGAGGCCTGCTGCCTAGAGACGATAAGGGGCTTCAAACGCAACCCCCCAAACTCCAAAACCTATCGGTCGTATACGAAGTAACCCCCACGTTAGGGATAATCAGATGCTAACTCAAGTCTTTATGCTTCAGCTACTGTCGAAAGTTTCGGGTATCCCCTTCCTTTGTCACAGTCTTGACGTCCCAAAGAAAAAAGGTGAGGGATTCAGCCAGTGAGACCCTTGCTGCAAAGCCAGGAATCTACGTAGTCTGCATAAGCTGCATTAAAAAAAGGAAGTCGTTCTTCACAATTCAAATCTCCACACTCCACAGGTCTTCATGCGGCACTTCTTCACAGTCTTCAGCAGAGGGGCTGGGGCCTCTCAAAGAAGGGCTTGTTGGACGTTTATGCGCAAGTTGTTTGAACTTGAACTGCTACGTACAAGTCTTTCTTGGGTGGTTTTGTATGCTATTGGCAGAAAGCTTTATTTCAGGTCTTTGGATCGGGGAATCCTAGGAATGACAGTGGTTCAGGGGTTTAGGGTTTAGGGCAGCGACCATGGATGGTGCACGATTTCTTCGGTCCATCAACAGTTTCGCGACTATTCATGGATGCGACCTTGAGCCCCAAAAGAAAAAGGATGCCTTCATGCAACGGAGACTAGGGTTCGAGGTTTTGAGGTTCGATGGATCTTAAAAGTAGATGGAATTCAGATTCAATTCTCCTTGCATGTCCTCTTTCGTATTTTTGTACCTGCGGAGTTGCTACGAGAACCCCAATTTTTAACGCTGGAAAAGAAGGGCTGCATGCGCCGCCACCACCACTACCGCCACGGCAACCACCACCATGACCCTCCTAAATCCGAAGCTTAAATCCACCTGAGCTATAGTCTAAACTCCTAGCATCCCCCCTTAGTGAGCCCTATAATGCTCCCCAATATCATCCCCGATCTAACCCTTTTTGAGGATTTGAGATAATAGCTCACCAAAAATTTTGATCCCCAGACTCTATAGTCCCCCTTAAGTAGATAGAATATTGGGTATATGGGGACCTTATTATAATAGACCCAAAGCCATATTCTATCTACTTAAGGGGGACCCTAAACCCTAAACCCTAAATAGTAGTTTCCATTTTCTTTTCCACTATCCCTATATAAACCCAATACTATACCCTAATATTCTATCTACTTAAGGGGGACTATAACCCTAAACCCTAAACCCTAAACCCAACCCTGATAGTCCTGGCCAAAGGAAAAGAGCAAGTTCCACTCCTCCACGGGCGCCGCTAGCTCCGCAA